GCCACTGAGTATAGGCTGAGTAAAAATACAAAATATCCATTTTAACACAGGACATGTTTTGAACTACAGTTGATTACCATGGAATGAAAGTGTTCATGCTCAGCATTTTGAAGTCTTTAAGTGGCCTCCTCAGTCCCCTGACCTTAAAGCCATTGAAACCCTTTGGGAAATTATAAACCTGATTTGTGATAAGTCAAGCAGGTCTTCCAATGAAGCTCAACTTTTAAGGACGATTTTAAATAAGTTTTTACGCAATGTTTAGTGAGTCAATACCCAGAAGAATGTCTGCTGTAATAAAAATAAATAAAGGGAGAACCAACAAAATATGAATAAGTGATTACATTGTAGTCAATGAATGCTTTAATTCCACATTCACTCCGAAATTTCAGCTCCAACCAGTTGTCAGAAGACATGGAAAGCTTAGTGTGTCTCTAAACTGTATGTACATACATGAAATATAGTATATATTAGTGTCTATCAACACATTCTAATATACCTACGAAATACGAATACTAATGAGATCACCTTGTGCAAAGACAGAAAGGCCACAGAGTAACAAGATACTCAATTGAAGCTAGGGTTCATAAGGGGGCTTATGGGAAATGGAGGCAGCTTAAAATGCCGCAGAGGGTTTATGGGGATGAACAGCTACAATCTGCAGTTCATTACCTGCGAGGGGGAAGGAGAAGATTACTGAATCACTTACACTTCTGTCTCTCTCTCTTTCTCCGTCCCTCGTCGACTTGTGAGGGAACGCTGGGAATGAGGTGTGTTTGAAAGCAATTGCATGTGTTCTAGTTTGGATTCATATCGGTACGTCTCTGGCTTTTCATTTACCTTTACAAACCACATGTCTCTCTTTTGAGTCTGCGGGTGTGATTGCATCTCAGTGACGGAAGCATTCGGAATCTCAATACCATCTGTAGGGGAGAGAGTCTATAGAAACCATTTATCAAACCTGAGGTGAAGGCACCACAACACACACTATACACATCCTGTCTTAGGTCACACAAATCACACACCCACCCACACATGCACCTATTGTGCTCAGACAATGCCATTATACTGCAAGTTATCTGGTAGAAACTTAGTTTGAATCGAGTAGTTTTAAATCGAAGCCTGTGTCGTCTGAATAATGGCTGATCATGGCAACAGGCCCATAACTATTTCTGTCAGGAACCGTACAACTGTGTCAGCGCCTCCCACTCCTCATATCTTTCTCGTGTTCTCTTTCTCACCCTCTCTCGCTCAGCCCAGGAGGGTTTTTCCAGAGCATACTGTCTATAAAATGGGTCAGGACGGGACAAGGCTCTATTTTTATCAGAAAATCATTTTCATAACTCCACAACAGGTATCTCACAGACCTTGATGCCCATATAACCGTAGACCAATAGCGAGGAGGTTCCCTCAGTAGTCCGTTCCCCATCGCTCTCCAGGGCTACACAGCTGCTGCCTGGATAGTTCAAGACGCAGAACAATGAAGGCTGCTGGAAAGCTTTCAGCTCAGTGCCGATCTCTGTCATATTTGACTCATCCTCATGTTATTCCAATATATATAGATGAATATATCATCATATGGGTTAGATTATGCTTCTTTTTCTTTTTGGAGCTTGACAGTTAAGAAAATATAATAAGTGTAATGATGATGGCAGAATATTGGGGTTCCCTGTTCTTGACCAATGCATTTCCACTCTTAAAAATAAAGGTTATTTATTGGGATCTATGGTCCCATAAAAAAAGCTTTATCATCCATGGAAACTTTTCATTGCACAAGTTCTTTAAAATGAAAAAAGACTGTTTAGATAATTTATTGAAATGTTCTTCACACTAAGAAAAAACGATTCTTTAAGAACTTTTGAAAGGTTCTTTGGGGAATGCAAAATGGCTCTTCTATGGCATCTTTGCGAAAACCCACTTTTGCAACCTTTATTCACTTTATGAGTGTAGGATTCTAAAAATAATTTTTATTCAGACTGTCATGGCTAATTAATTATTAATACTGTTTTTTGAACCGTTTAATTGTTGCTCAGCACATGTTTCTTTTTCATTAAACAGAACAAATTGAACAAATTCAAGTTAAATCTATTCTAATTACATTAGGGGATGAAAATAACCATCATAGACAATTTTCATCAGTCTTCCAAAATGTTATTTTGCCAGTTAAGAGTATCATTATTAATTTATAAAAAGTAAGGTTACATTACCATAAAACATCTGTTCCTTACATAATGCCATTAAAAGACTTAACTGTAAAAGGAGAGTACTTTGAGATAGCCATGAAAAGTCTAACTCGCAGCATTTTTATTCAATAGATGTGCCATATTCAAAAGTAAATGACAATGGCATGTTGTCATAATTGCAAATTCTGTGGATTTTAACCTTTTAAATCATTCAGCTGAATTGCCTCTTCCAGATTTGACGGTGCATTTTAAACCTTAATGGTCATTACAGGCTTTGCACCAAATGCTGCATGAGTACATGAAGAATGTCTGCCCAAGTGGATGTATGAAATCCATTATGTGGCAGAAGAGCACAATCCCTGAGGCAGCTCGTCTAATTTACGTGGGCTTATTACAATGAGATACTTATAGAGCTTGACAATATAGTGGCATATTATGAATGACCTTCTCTTTAGCTGCAGTGAGGAGGGGAGGGGAGGGGAATGGGAGCATGCGGAAGAGAAAAATGCCCCGGGGACTGAGGTGTTTCCCCATTGGCTGTGTCCTCCGAGTCTCTGAGCCTCTCTCACACATTTGTCTGTTCCGTTACACACGCTTTCTCTAAGTCGATGGTTATCAAACACACACTTGCACTCGCATTTAAACCCTCACATATGCTTAAAAAAATCTTATGCACACACAGACGCAATGGTGATATAACAAAAGCCAGTATGATTAAGCAGCATGCATTGTAAACATTCCCAAATTAATCTGCTTACGTAACCCCTCTGACATTGATTAAAATACACACAATTCAATGTAATGATCTCTGATTCGACTGCAAGCAAAAATAACATTTGTTTGAGTCCCAAAGACTGGAATAGGGCAATGACAGGACAAATTCAGATGGTTACAGTAGCACGGAAAGGACAAATCTGTTAAGGATGAGTCCAAATGAAAGGAATCGGTGAAAAGGACAGGGACAGGATAGACGGACCTAAGACATAAAAAAGGGGTGGGGAGGAGGGACGGTCTTAGGATAGCAACACAGGGCAGAATGTCCCAAGGCTTGCAGCGCATCGGTAAGCTACACAGGCTCTGAATTAGAGTCAGTTGCCTTTGAACCAAATGCCGCTCTCCACTTCTGAGAAGAAAATCCCCTCATTTCTCAGTTCACAGAGAGGCAGGAGACAAAAGCTCTCTCATCCCCCCATTCTAATCGGCAGCTCTGGGATGCACACTCACTCACACATATACACAGCTTAACAAACACACACTCAATATCTGAGAGCCGTCTCATCACGCTCTCTGTTCTCTTTATCCTGCTCTGGCCGTGACACAGTCTAAATATCTGCTCCACCTTGCCTGCTAATGCTGCTGCTTTCCACTCTACTCCACCTCAAGCACAATTTGGGTAATTGGACACACTGCATGGGCTAATTCTTTGTTATTGTTTTTATGGGAAAGATTGACCTTTGAGAGCATTGACAGCGCATATCCAAAATGACTATAGGGTATCTAGTACATTTAAAACAGGATTTGAAATGTTTCCAGAACCACAAGATTTCAGATATCCTGTTGTTGCTTTTCAAGTGAGATTAATCTTTTTAAAATGTTTTGTGGCTAGATGCACTACAGTTCAAAAATGTCTGGGCTAAGTAAAGCAATTTAACCATTTAATTCAGCAAAGATGCATTAATAAGCATTTAAAAAGTGACAGTAAAGACATTTATAAATGTTACAAAAGATTTCCATTAATTAAACAAATGCTGTTCTTTTAATTTACCTTCTAATTTATGAATTTTAGATTTATCAAAGAACCCTGAAATATTTTATTTATATTAATATTATGTTAATTTATTTTATATTATAGTTAATATAAAAATATTAATATTTTATCATGTTTTCCACAAAAATACTTAGCAGCAGCGGTTTTTTCGACATTGATAATAATAAGAAATATTTCTTGAGCCCCAAATCAGCATATTAGGATGTTTTCTGAAGAATCATGTGACACTGAAGACTGGAGTAATGATGCTGAAAATTCAGCTTTGCCATCACAAGAACAAATTATAAAATATATTAAAGTAGAAAAATAAATATTTCACAATATTTCTGTTTTTTACTGTTGGTGTGCATAAGAGACTTCTTTTAAAAACATTTAAAAAATCATACAGACCTTAAGCTTATGAACGGTAGTCTACCTGTACAGAACTGCATATTGAACTGTTTTATTTGGTGTTGTGACATTAGAGCTCCTAAATAAAAAAAAATCAGTCATGAAGATTCTGATGCCCTGGGGTGCCCAATTTGGCCACTGGAGGGCTGCCTCAAACCTAATCCAACACACCAACCTGACCTTTCTAGTCTTCCCGAAGACCTTGATTACCTGGTTTAGGTGTGTTTCATTAGTATTAGATGTATACTCTGTAGGATGGTGGACCCGCAGGAACAGGATTGTACCCCAATGATATAACCAGAGAAATACAGCACCACGGAGAGCAACCTGGAAATTCAGCACCATGGAGAGAGTCCAAAATCTTTAACGCAAGGCCCAGAATTGGTACTTTCACGCCATAAACTAAGCCTGACGTTTTCATCACCAAGGAAAGTGTCCGCATCATCCTAATTACGCCATCTTCTTTCACATCAGTTTGTTTGGCCAAACTCTTTTGATATGAGGAGAGTAATTAAAATGTTTGCATAATTATTTACCTCTCTAAAAGCTGCATGTTCGTCAATTATCTGTGAATCATTATTGTGGAGACACATGGAGGGCACCTGCATAATTATTCTAATTATGATGATCATCAATCCTTAAAAGAGCATTCAGTCACTTACAGAGGTGTAGAGATATCCCTCGCTGTTCATGCCCAGATAGAAACCAGTCTTCGCTCCCTGGATCGCCACTATCCGCAGACCCACAGGAATCAAGTTGAACTGTGCTGTGGGATGAAATCAAGAAGAATTCATACTCAGAGAAATAGATAAAATACTTGATGAAGAATAGCAAACAGTGTCAGGTGTCAGAGAGAATGGAATTGTCAGGTTGAAAACTGTGGGTGGTTGTCAATCAAACTGTCTTTTCCTGTCTAAGTGGGCGGTTCTTGGGAAGAATAAGCTGCAATGACAACCATTCTTTTTCCTTGAGTCAAATGTCTGGCTTTGCAAGACTAGAGACAACGTAACATAGGATGAAACAGGATAACAGAGATGAAGACGAGAAAGACACAGAAGAGAGGATGTAAAACTGTCAGGGATGGCAAAGATAATGGCATGAGGTGGGGGAAGGTATCCAGTAGGGACTATCTGTCCTACGTCTGTTGTCCTTGATAGAAAGATGGATTGCATTTGATATGGATGATTCAAGGAACATCACTGCTTCTGAGAGATAAAAAAACATGCTAAATAAATGACAATGAGAGGCAGTGAAAGACTGAGAGAGATATTCCCTCACAGACTAAGGTCAATATTTCTGCAATTAGTCTTCAGTGAGATTTCCCTGCCAGAGTTTGACAGATGTATGACAGTATGTAATTGCTGTTGGACATTATTGTAACGATTTAGCACCATCAAATTCACCTCATTGGGCGTGAAGTGTTTAGGATTCATGTCAGACCGCCCTGTCACACCGTTCATGGGACGCTGCAGTAGTATGGTTATTTAATATGTGCGACAGTCATTTCAATAGACAAGCGTGACATGTAAGCTAGTCCTTGACAACCCAGACAGGAATGTGCTATACACTAGCGCACCCTGACAACTGCCATCCCAATAAAATACTTCTCAATCCGTTACACACACACAAAACTCACATAGAGCTACATAAGGCACAAGAGCTCATGACACATCACATTCTCTCTCCTTACTGTCTATTTCCCTTCTAGAGCAGCATGTTATGGTGACTCAACATAAAAAAAGATTGTGCCATTGAGACCTCAGGTTGAACCTGTACAGAAGAATTAAAGGGATAGTTTACCAAAAAATTTAAATTCTGTCGTTTATTACTCACCCACATGCAGTTCCAAACCCGTAAGACTTTTGTTCTTCTTCAGAACACAAATTAAGTTCTTTTTGATGAAATCTGAGAGCTTTCTTTCCTTCCGTTGACAGCCTACGCAACTACGACTTTGACGCTTCAAAAAGTTCATAAAGAGATCGTAAAACTAATCCATATGAATTGAGCAGTTTAGTCCAATTGTTTTGAAGAGGCACGATCACTTTATATGATAAACAGACTTAATTTAGGCTTTTATTCACATTTAAACTGTAACATCTGCATCCGCCATCCATTCCTCCAACCGCCAGAGGGAGCTATCGCCTGAGTATTGACTACGGCCTGTTCTTCTTGCATCACTTCCTGTTCTTATCTGTTATAAGCCATGTTGTTTGTTCATCATGTTGTGAAGTATTGCCAGTTTACCCTGGCTTTACTGAGCATTTCTGTTATCTTGTTTTTTTGTCACGTGTATGTTTCTCTGCCTGTTCTTGACTACGGTTTTTTGGATTACGGACTTTGATCAGTTTGCTGTTTGGACTGTCGCTACTGTTATTCGAACCTGTGCATGCTCACTGTCCATGCTTCCTGTCTTGAACATTATATTGTTTGAGTCACTGTGTTTAATAAACACCGCATATGGATTCAACTACTCAACCGAGTCAGACATTGTTACATAAACATTGATCAGTGGACATAAACAGAAGCTCAACCGAAACTTCTTGACACACAAGAACACTTTGGTTCTTGCTGAAGCTCAAACGTGCTGCGTAACACGAGAATGAACCCCATTGGTCTTTGCTGAAGCTCAAACGTGCTGCATAACACGAGAATGAACCCCATTGGTTCTTGCTGAAGCTCGAACGTGCTGCGTAACACGAGAATGAACCTCATTGGTTCTTGCTGAAGCTCAAACGTGCTGCGTAACACGAGAATGAACCCCATTGGTCTTTGCTGAAGCTCAAACGTGCTGTATAACACGAGAATGAACCCCATTGGTTCTTGCTGAAGCTCAAACGTGCTGCGTAACACGAGAATGAACCTCATTGGTTCTTGCTGAAGCTCAAAATTGCTGCGTAACATGGGAATGATCCCCATTGGTTCTCGCACATCAAGCGAACATGCTTGATTTTCCGTTTACCATAACTGATGTATGAGTTGGTGAATGTTTATATGTGAATAAAAGCCTAAATTTAATCTGTTCATCATATAAAGCGACCGTGTCTCTTTGGAAAATTTGGACTAAACCCCAGTTTTCGATCTCTTTCTGAACTTTTTTGCAGCATCAAAGTGGTAGTTGCGTAGATGTCTATGGAGAGAGCTCTCAGATTTCATCAAAAAGATTAATCAACACAAGATTCATTTGTGTTCTGAAGATGAACAAAAGACTTATGGGTATGGAACGACATGAGTGTGAGTACTTAATTGCAGAATTTTTGGGTGAAATATCCCTTTAACTTTCAGAAATGGAATACCAAGCACTCCCACTGGTAGCCACTGCATTGCATAACTTCTCATTTACATAAAATAAAACTCTGCTCAACTTGCATTGCCAATAGTTGCTTGTGAGCCTCAAAAAGGCAACACTAATTAAAAATGAATGACTTCTGAGCAACCATTTAACCATTAATTTAAACCGAAATTAAAATTCTATACTAATTTATTCTAAATTAATGACAAATAAAACATTAAAAACTAAAAATCTATTTTTTTAAATGCTACAAGTAAATGTGGGCATCTCAACGTGTACAGTATGAAAAATTGGTATTCATTTAGAAATTTTCTAAAGATTATACACTCTTAGGAAAAATAGGTTCTAGAACAGGGGTGTCCTGGAGGGCCACAGTCCTGCAGAGTTTACCTCCAACTTGCCTCAACACACCAACCTGGATGTTTCTAGTATGCCTAGTAAGACCTTGATTAGCTGCTTCAGGTGTGTTTAATTGGGGTTGGAGCTCAACTCTGCAGGACAGTGGCCCTCCAGGAGCAGGATTGGAGACCCCTGTTCTAGAACCTTAGAGGGTTCTGTCAGGCCCTTCATATAAACCTTTCCCATCATGGGATCATTTTAAGACTATGAATTAAACCACTTGTAAACATACTGTATCACTAGAAAATATGGAAATAACCTGTTAAAAATTGAAGTATTATGTAATCATTTAGGGCATTTCTCCTTATATAGGCCTAGAACATTTTGGCATAACTGGTTCTTAAAAGTGAAACAAGAACCCTATCGTTCTATATATAGAACGCCATTGAACCTTTTTTCTAAGCTTGCATTTAACAATGCTATTTAATTATTAGTGTTTATAAAGAATAAGTGAGCATAGACAAAGGTGAAGGTATAGCCAATATAAGCGGATTCTGATAAATGGGGGGGAAAAAATTATATTAGCTGATAATCAATATGAGAGATATATTGTAGAACATATACACTGTTATGTTTAAGGTGTGTGATATTGACAAAAATGATAAATTGTTTTATTTTTATTTTGTTAATAATCATAATTAGACAATATTTTGCTGCGTGTTTTTGTGAAGTTGCATCTGATGGCATTTAGATGTATTTACACAGACTATTTAATGCAGAGGTGGCATAAGCATATTTACACTGAAATTACAATTGCATTAATAATACTATGATTTTTTTTTTAAATATTGAATATTACATATAAAAAAAAAAAAAAAAAAGACTTTTGCCACTGCAATGACGGAAATTTCCGTCATTTGTGAGAAAACACTTACCCACCATTGATGGAATTCTCTGGCTTTCCGTGTTTTCCCTGTTATATGGTAGGGGGTGCTATTACACATCTTCTGAAAGAGTACTGAATTTCCTGATCAGAAGATATGCGAAGAAGATGCAGTAACGAGCGATATCATATGCAATCATATGCATATGTAAAATAACGCGATCACCAGCATTAAACAGCAAATAAATCAAAACTGCCTAATGTTATCGAATAAAATGTCGACCCAGGATGAGCTATAGGAATGTGCAAGCATTGAGGCCATGGGAGAGGATTTATAGCTGCGTCCCAATTCAGAGGCTGCATCCTTCAAAGGATGAATGCATGCACGAATGCGTGCGAAGAAGGCTCCTTCGGACACGGCCTACAAATGCGTCCTTTTCCTGTGCCGCGCAGCATAGAACGAGTGGATCCAAGGATTAGGACCCAAGCCTATCCCAAGATTCATAGTGCGCCAATGACTGGATATTTATTTAGAGAAAATGCCAGATTACACTTTTAAATGCAAGTACTGCAGGGATTCAACTTACTCGAATTTTCAAAAAAACACTTTAAATCTGTTCTTCAAATATTGACATATCTTACCAATTATGTGATTTTGTAGATAGTTTATCCTCTTTATTATGTACATAAATGGACCATAAATGGAAAATATTTAGACTGTGAATCCTCTTTTCTTTTCAGACAGTTGAATATAACTTTCAAAAAACGTCAATGGCATCGCTTGTCAATGGCACCTGTCACAGTTGCTAGGCCACAAGAACAATCCTATAGGCTGCACCGTCCCATTTAACAACGCTCGGTCCGACCTTCATAGGACCTTTGCGTCCTTCGAAGGATGCAGCCTCTGAATTGGGACATGAATGGCAGTGAAGCGACGCAACTGACGCTGGTAGGTCACGTGACAGTAACAACATGGTGATGTAGCGCGTCAAAATTTCATTCATACTATCCATATTCACAGTATATACAACATACTTTTTTAACGGTCACAAAGTAAATTCAAATTCAAATGTAGTACCTACTCAGACATGTACTGTATGTGATTTTGGACGCAGCCCATGTTTTTATGAATGGGTTATTGAATCAATCACTTCATTAGTTCAAAATGCAGATCCACTTAGTACCGAAAAAAAAAAAGTAGTACAGGGGAATGTGAGTGACATACTAATTAATGTCAGCTCAGACATCATTAAAACAACAATTACCATATTATCATAAAAACTGAATAAATTCCAGACATCTGATTAAAATACACAACAAGGCCAAGAATATGTGAAAATCCTCTTCTAATTATCGGGTTTGGCCTTAATTCCAGACGAGACAAATATTCATACCACGGCATGTGATCTTCAATTCAGCTGAGTGTGAATCCCCAGAGTTGTACCAGTGACCATGGGTTATACACCTTAGGCCTGACATAAGGGACATATGCCAACACAGGCTTTCAAATTAATTACAACAGACAGACAGACGGAACATGTACGTGAGGAGACTGTAAGACAGAGGAAATGAATGACATGAACAACAAAAGTTCATTTTATGTCTGTCTAGCAGTCGCAGGAACGGACACACGCAGACACAACTCAATAGTTCCCACAACTGACCAACCAAAGGTCACACTGGGCTTGTCAGGTGTGAATTACAAGTGAGAAAGAACACGCGCTTACAGAAGCAGCTGTTCTCGTCCCTTGTGCCGTCCATGGTGCCATCCGGCAGCATCTGCAGATAGTAGCCGTGCTGGCTGTACAGACGGGTGACGATGCCTTTTAGCTGTGGCTCTGCAGAGAGAAAACACAATCACAGACACACAATATTAGTCCGGGGAGAAAACATCCCAGTTTGCGGTTTGCGACTTCATTAACGCTTCATTAAAGCTTACACAGAGTATATTCATTAACAGTGCCACAAGATGTACTTAAATACTACAATGCTGTGCACATATTTAGTATGACACTGTCTCAGAAAAAAAGGTACAAAAGCCATCACTGGGGCGGTACCTTTTCAAAAGGTGCACTTTTGTACTTAAAGGGTGCATATTGGTACTTTAAAGGTATATATTAGTACCTAAAATGAACAAAAAGTGTACCTTTTGAAAAGGTACCGCCCCAGTGACAGCTTTTGTACCTTTTTTTTCCTGAGAGTTCAGGGAATTCAGACCAAACTTCCTGATGTAAACATATATTAAAACATGAAAGAAAACAATTGAATACAGGACTGTTCAAAAATGTGTGGTCAGTAAAAAAAAATTGAGAAATTAATACTTTTTTCCCCTCAAAAACTAATTAAATTGATGAAAAGTGACAGTAAAGACATTTATAATGTTACAAAATATTTCTGTTTCAAATAAATGCTGTTCTTTTGAACCTTATGTTCATCAAAGAACCCTGAAAAACAATGTACTGTATCATGGTTGACACAAAAATATTAAGCAGCACAACTGTTTTCAACACTGATTATAATAACAAATGTTTTGTGAGGACCAAATCAGCATATTAAAATGATTTCTGAAGGATCATGTGACTGAAGACAGTGTTTTGAACGGTTGTGTAAATAGATAATGTCTCCAATAAACTGCATTTAAGTCACATAAGTCACACTTAAATGTATGAATGCCATTGTGTTAGATCAAATATTAAACCAAAGCATTTATTTTTATAGAAACTTAGCACAACACTTTTCATGAAAAACATTTCACAACATAAAAATGGGTTTATAATTATACAATATAATATAAAGTACAAAAAGTATTGCAACACTTTCTGGTAGTTAAACTTTTTGAAACATGTAGTTCATCAAATTAACTGTTAACACCTTTGGATACTCTGCGAAGACTCCTTGAGGGGAACCGATTTCATACATCCATTAAAAATCACCTTGGGACCAGTTGGTTAAAAGTAATTGCCAAAATGGCAAGGAAAAGTCATGAGAAGATTAGCTTTCAGTTGCGGGTTATCTAATGCAATTAAATTCCTACATTTTTTAATGTGGTCGTCCAAAAACTTTTTTGGGTCACGTTTGCACAAGTTAACTAGTCTACAATGACTAATGCGGTGTCTCTTAACAGGTTTTGTTTCAGGACCCAGATTTTACATTGGCAATTAAATTAAACAAAAAGATTTGTAATAATTTAACCTATTAATGTAATCAAGAGCTGCATAAGCCCGATGGGGAATGAATTACAAGACACAAACTAACATGACAGACAAACGGACAATAGGCAAATGTGGTTACTGCAAGTGAACTTTAATGTATTTTGGTTCAGATTTTCTTTTACCCTTTGCGGTTTTGTTCATGGTTTTCAAGGATGATGGGTTGTGTCAAGCAACCTGTGAATTTCTGCCAAAATCCTTAAGAATTTGATTGAATGCGTATGCTCCCTTTTTAAAAGGTCACATCACACGTCTATTTATTTTGCTATGCTAATCATTAAGCACTGATACAGTTAGGGTTTTTGCATGTGGCATTGTTTCTTCCACTGCTGTCCACATTTTTGGGCCACGACCCACCAGTTAAGAACTACTGGCCTAATTTAGCATCAATATCTAGAGCACAGCTGTTTCTTATGCACACGAAGATGCCTCCAAATGACCTGTAGGGTCAGATCAGAATAGGCTACCTTTCGCAGGCCTCACATATGGTGCAGATGATCCATTAGTCATGAACATTTAGTAACTCACTTGACATTTACACTTTCTCATGTATAACTGCTTGAAGACAATGTTTGCTCCCTCATTCCCTGTGGCCATTTTACCATGAACGCTTCACAGTCCATCCCTATAGCATTGTATTCACGTTAGCCCCATCTTTATTTTTAGACAAGCTTTGGTCACTTCAGGACTTTCGGAAATAAAATGTGTATGCAACTCTATTAAAGATTTATACGCATTGCACGTTTATTTATGAGACTTGAGGAAAAGAACAGAAGCTGAATGTTTTATTAGTGCAGTCCCCCCGGCCAAGTTTGTTCATTTTAGAAACAAGCAAAAGGAAAGCTAAATAGAAAATTGCTTGTAAACAGACTACCTGTAGTTCCAAAAAAAAAGAGAAGTGTAGTTGTAGTTAATGTAGTGACCACGTTAAGCACAGTTTCTTAGGACCAGCTGATTCATTCCCCACAGTGAAATTCAAATGAAAGAAATCTCTCAAGGAAGAAAAGCGATTATCTGGAGGGATAGGCTGGCTAGTTTCCACTGCGAAGGACATTAAAGGTTTGTATTGTATAAATGTCGAGCCGGTGGGTTAAAAAGACAATCAGTCTCAAATTCATCATGCTTCATCATGTCAAACTTGAAATGAAGTGAGAACTGCTTTGTTGTAATTAATGGTTAATCGGGCGATCCAATCACAAGTTAATGAAGATCTTTTTCCGCTACACGTCCTGCACAGTGAGTGTGTGTTCTTAAGTGTTTCCTTCCACTTTTCTTTGCTGTCATGACACCTTAGGCAAAGCAGAGGACTGAGGTGGAATCTGCTGAACTTTTCCCAAGACCCGGTAAAAGCCCGTATTGATTTCACCCACGCAAATCCTGATAAAAATTCCACTGACACAAAGAGGTTGCAAAGCTCAGGTTTGTGTGTGTCTGATTGTGTGTATGTGTTAGTTTTGCTGCTACAGTTTTATCTCTAGCCTGAGATCAGCAAGAAGTGAGTGTTGGTAGGAATAGGACATTTTTCTGCTTTCAAGTACACATGAGAAGCTCCTACTTCCGAGGCGAGCAGTCGGGTGTATTGGGTGTTTCTTCAACTAGAAGCACTTTAGACCCTGTGGACTACAACATAAACTCTCTTAAAACACAGTTTTAACCTTTTCACTGTCAACTAAAATGTCCAATAGTCTAAATACATGAGAAATTCTGTCATGCATGTTATAGCCTAAACGTTTCCACGTCATTTAAGACAACATTTTGTGGCAGAAATGGCCTTTTAAAATTGTATATGTTTTGCATGACTTGATTGTAATGGCACACAATAAAAATACTCTGTTAAGTGATATTTACCTTGATTTTACTTCATCATGTCTCATATTGCATCTCAAGGTGCTCTTCACTGACACTGTCCGAGAGTACACAGCTCCGTATGTTTTTGAATTGCTCTCGCGGTACTTTGATGTCATACACCGATCGGTCTGCGCAGCGCCGCTTCAAGTCGAACACACCTTTTCTGTTGTACCAGTGGATAAGCATAAGGGAATACACCTGCATCACTTTTACACAATCTAAGTTATTTATGCATGTTACCTAGCAGATAATTCCTTTGTATAAAGCAAGTCGTTAACTTTACATTATCAGACAATAACCTCAGTCAACAAATATTAATTAAATACACTGCAATGAAATTACTTTGCAATTTGCAAAACCATTTTCTACAAAATACTGCAGAGCTGCTTTCCAGCTTCTTTCAGCATCACAATTCTGAGTTAGCGGACAAAATGACTACAATATTTCCAACTCATTTATTTTCGTCTCTTAATTTCGTCTTTCCCCCTCTCCTTCAATTTCTAATAATTACCTATGTGGTGTAATAATATGATGCATTATCCAACCCCAAAAAAGAGGAAGCATGTGATTATTTGCCAAGCGAGGTGGGGGAAGGGATGCATTTGACATAATTTCATTAGAGAAAATGGCTCTATATGTATTGGACAGCCATAAAGTATACACTTACAGCCTCATTTGACAGCTGAAGCATGACAGTGCTAATCAGAATCTCAGCTGCCCTCCACTGGAACAGCGACACTGATGATTCACTTTAGAGTATCAGCATAAACCGACGGGTTGCGAACAGCATCCCACACTACTGTTAAACAGCGGGAAACTGTGGCTATCATGGCTCTTCATCATCACATCCAAAAACCAGCATGACACAGCAAAGTGACAGAACACACACACAAACACATATGGTGTTTAACAGCATTTAATGAAGCATGCCATTTTCTACTAATTTAGTTCTGCGTAGGAACATGAGTAAGTGGTGGGTTGCTCTCAGTATATTTAGTAATACTAGTGTTTGGACTTGTGCAGTCATATCCCAACAAGAATGTTCTCAGAACTTTGTCTAACGTATGAACAGACATTATTCCAGTAACATTAATAGAACATTCGTTCAAAGTTATCTGGTCTTTAATAATGGTCTAAAAACACTTAAAATTCTAACAAAAAATGCTAAAACTTTACCAAAAAATTATTTTATAATGTCTTCATGTGTATCTGAATGCATACTGAAGTTAACTGACTTTAGGACAAAGAGGAACAGCTCATTTGCTCCAAATAGAGCTATAAGGCCATCTAGTGGATATATTATTTTTTTTTCCACAAGAGATCGGCAAAGACACAGCCTAGAAATCTAGACGCACCCTAGCGGCCAGTGTGGTCTATCGACTCTCCGTTGGCTTTCGAAGTGGAAAAACCAAACTCTGGTCAGGCCAAGAGTTGGTGGGCGGGCTTAACACAATGACGGCAGAGTTGTGACGGTTCTGTGCTGTGATTTCCATAGGCGATTTCCCTGCTACCTATGGCTAAGCCACGCCCCCTCCACTCACTCGGACAAACAGTCAACATTCGGTGACAGGCGCTATGGCAGCTGTCACAGTAGGAGACATTTCACAGGAGGTAATTGATGATTTTTGGAGACAGAAAGATTATATATCATCTCGAAGTCACCAAAAGGGCCTTAACTATTCATTGGAGGCTTATATTAATCATTTTATTGTTGAGAAGGTTGATGAAAAGCTTCAGCTCCAGGCAAAAATTTACATGTCACAGTGTAAACGTGATAAACC